GCTCAGACTTCACGAAGAAGTGTTCAGTCCAGGTACCATGTGATCAGGTGCCAGGTGCGAGGTGTTGGCGTTCAGTAGAGGCCAAACAATGGAAGATGGGGTGGAGGAGCTGTCTGAGTGCAGGAGTGATTCATGCAGGTGGGGAGAAGAGAGGGCTAGACAAAGCATCCCTGTGCCCGAGCCATTGGGCAAGTAGAGGGTTTGTTCCCACTAACACTGGAATACAAGGTAAGAATGAGGTAGAACTTAATCCCATTAGTCTTTGCCAGCTACAGTCTTTGGATATTATAATCAGTTTAGAGAGGAATCCAAATACTCCTTAAAGGTTTGGGGTTTTTTTGCCTTTAAAATGCTTCTTTAATATCCCACACTTTACATAATAGTCTTTGTAGAAATAGTCTTCTCAAGAAAATATGAAATCTCTACAACTTTACTTTTGACACTAAATGACATGTATATAAAATATTGGCTAAAAATAATCCATGCTGCAGGGTCAAGTTTATTTCTATGGAGCCTGTGTAGCCATCAGTGGTCCTCTGCACAGTGCTTTGTCTGGGTTGTGATGACTTAGGACAGCCACTTCCCTCCTCATTTTCCCTCATGTTTTGTCAGCATGAACTAATGGCTGGCCAGCAAGGGTAGGCAGGGCTACCTGCAGGTACCTACCAGCCTTCCTTGGCAGGCTCTACTAAATACCTGAAAAGCTAGGCATTCCTAGGAGGTAGCCAGCATAGCACTTTCCACAAGTCAAGCTCTACTCTCATGCAAAAAATAATGTTTTTCAATAGTGTGAGTAGTCAAATTCTTTACCCTGTCACCTTATCATTAAAAAATCCTCACTCTTAGCTTCTCTGTATTATCTCTTCTACCTCCTCTAGTAGAAAGATTCATAGCCCAGGTGCCAGGTTTTCTGGATATTTAGCTTTTTCTTTGGGAGGTTTTACAACTGGATAGAAACATGGCCTCTAATCTGCCTAGAACTTCCTTACCTGTTCCATTTCCATCATAACTACCTAGCATGACAAAGTGATAGCACTTACCAAAATGGACTTCATGCAGTTGCACCTGTTAGCTCCCTTGCCCTGGCAGACATAGAAGATGGCTCTGTGGTCAACAGCACAGGCTTAGTGATGGATTTGCACTAGCCGTCACTGACCACCAGGCTGATTTTCATGAAAGTGTCTGATTCCTCTTCCTCACCTGTCCCAATCTAAAAGCTAATGTGAAATGACCAAATTATAATGGTAGCCTGTTTACCTACACAGTGTAATGTTGGCCTGTAGATATGAACTAATTGTACAGGAAGTGCTACCATTTTGGCATTTCAAAGTTAGATGAGGCTGCCTAACCTGAGACCTGCAAAAATGTTTTTCCTGGGGTGACACCAATTCTAACAGCCTTGGTGGGTGTTGGATTGAGACTCCAGATGGATTGATGTCCCTCCAGTCCTTCTAGGACTGAAACAGAGATGGTACTGCCAGGTTTACTCTGAAACCCACACCTGTTCTGTGACTCCCCATGAGGCTGTCCTGTCAGCTTGAGGGATCCATTCACTTTGTCCTAGTGTTCCTGTGTAGGTTCCAGCTTGCCCTGATAGTTACAAGGTTGAGCTTAAACTGTCCTTGTTTTCAAGCATAAAGGAAGTATCATTTCACTTTAATTCTGTTTTACATGCTGACTTTGCTTTAACTTAAAATTCTAACTAGGAAAATGGTTGCTATCCTTCGTGGATTTGCAGGTGTGAGGGTTTTAACCTACGTCTCATTTTCCTTCTATAGCGTAGTCAGTATTGAAGTCATCTTTCTCTGCCAAGTAGATAAAAACCCTGCTGACAAGTGTGCACTTCTCCACAGCAGAGAATGTTGTGGGAGGACAGGAGTGGGGATAGTTATGTCCATGCTCAGATTCCAGTTGATTGGGTTGTTATGTTTTCTGTACTTTTAGAGGCATCTCCCTTTCTTAGAACATCATGTGACCTAGTGGTGATAATTAGGCAGAAGCTTGTCTTCCCTGCAGATGCCAGGATTACAGAGGGACTGATCTCACCAGAGACCAGATGACAGCATCCACAGATATTTTTAGTTTGGGCTTCATCATTTATTTGGCCTCCCCATTTCACTTTCCTTGCATCAACAGCCTGATTCTAAACTTATTGAGTAGTGAGGGTGCGGGGGTGGGGGGAGATTAGGGGGACCACCTCCTTCCTCACTGGTGAAAGTCACCAGTGAGACAGGGTAACCATTTCTACTCGTCGTTAATTGGTGTATTGCCTAGTAACTGCCAAGTAACAGCTGTGGTTTTGTCAGCTATCTACTTCCTTTTCCTTCCAAAAGCTTTGCTTAATCTGATATGTTTTTACACTACAAGGGTATCAACACACATACATAAGCCTCACAGTTAACTAAAGGGCCATACTTTAATCCATGAGAGGGTGGTGAGAGCTTGCTAAATCCCATGAAACTTGTATCCTAGCCAAGCATCGTTGAATTCCCAGCTCAGTAGCTGATTGTGCTTCCCACCTCTTCTGGTCCTTGACCAAAGCAAATGACCATTTGAGCTGCAGAAGAGCCATTAGAAATCTGAAGTCCAGGCAGTTGCTCTTTTCCAAAGGGTTATTTCTATTTCCTGGGGCTTGTCGTAAGTGGTGATCTTAATGTTTCTCTTAGAAGGTGATTATATTCCTGTTCTGCGTTTATCTATCTGGTTGCTTAATTTCACAATATTTTGCAGTCTGTTTTCCTCCTATTGCAGCCTTTCAGTTGTATGAAGTGATCGTTTCTATACTAAATGTGCCCTCTGTAGGAGCTGCCTCTGTCCCTATGTCTGGCACTAGTGGCCTCAACCATAAGCACCAAGGCAGCTTCCTGCAGCAGACTCCCCAAGAGGGCTGGAGACCCTGGAGGAAGGTCCAGGACATAGCATCACAGGTCCTCCTGCTCTGTCTTGTGCTGCAGAAAGGGGAGTGATAATTAGTGCATCTCCTTTTTAATGATGATACTCCCAGAAGATTCTGGGCCTTTTGCTGAGGGAGTGGGTGTATGACCCGGGGATTGGTGCTGGTATGTCTTTGTACCACCCCAGGTAGGCCTTCTACCCTGGTTTCAGGACTGATGGTCTGTCCTGACCAGGTGATGCCACATCTGGGGTCTAGGTGTCCTCTGGCTCCTCCTCTCCATGTTGGGGCACCCCAGCAGCACAGCTATCTGCAGCTCTGCCTCTGTACTTAGGGAATGAAGTGTGTTATCTTCCCATTATGCACCAGTTTCGGCAGTGGATTAATTAACACCAAAGGGAACCAAGGAGGGGTCTGAATTAGGTAATATCTTGACGCACCTCCCTTAGAACTTACAGAAAGTCAGGGTCGGGACTTGGGGACTGTAGTCCCCAGATCCCTGATGACTAATTGCATAGTGATGTTAGACTGTGATTTATTAAGTGTTATTGTGAAGGGGAAAAAAAACCCAAATTCCCTTCAGCAGACTTTCATCTGTGAGCACCTGTGTGATCATGCTTCAGGGATCCCGGCAGAGGCTTTACATTATCACCAGCTTTAATTTCTCATGAATACCAAGGTCTGTGATTTATTTTAGCTTTCTTCCCTCTGAAAGTAAGAAACCATTATTTTATTACACACACACAAAACAACACCTAAAACACATGAAGCTAAATAGTGGAGATGGGAGTGGCCTCCTGATCTTTATTGTCTCTGCCTTCCAGTAAAACACCTTCTTTGGAGCTATAGCAGAGGTAAATATAACCATTGCTATAAATATTATTCTTGCTGCCTTTGCAAATGTTGATGATAGACGGTGAGATTACCCCTAGTCACAGAAGAGACTGGAGTCAGAAGAACACTGGTGCAAATCCCAAATGAACACGTGTTGCCTCCATGGGCAGGGGCAGATGTATGTACCTCATTGAGTGTGAGCTTCCTGGCACCTTGCTCATTATTTAGTCACTCTGCCTGGTGGTAAGAAGATCATGAGCTTATGATGCTTCACTGCCACTTTTTTACCCATGTCTTGGCCTGGAGCCATTTCTTTACTACCATGACAGCCAACACTGTCTCCATAAACAAAAGATCTTATGTCTCCAGGCCTGTCATGTCAGTTCCTTTAGCTATAATCTCTAATGTACTTTTGTTTTGTTTTTGGTGGTGGTGGTGGTGTTAATCCTCTTTTCTGGGCTTAACTGCCCCCATGAAATCAGGTAACACTTGTCTAAATTCAGATGCTCTGGGAGTACTACCAGTCTTTTCCATTGAAGACTACTGGCAACAAAACAATGCTGTTGTTAACATGATTTTTTGGGGGGAGGGGGGTCTGTTTGGCTTGGTATGTGTTACAAACTTTTCTCTCTGCAGATTTTTAATATAGCAATTAAATTTCCAAGATAGCCTACTTAGAGTAAGTCCTTACTACACATCATGTGCAGTGTAGGTTTACTGAGCCTTTGTAGGAAGGCCATGTCCTCTCCCCTGGCATGAAGAGTATGAATGGAAAGGATAGTGAGAAAGTTCCTTTAGCCCACCTATGTCTGCTGGGGGTAGGGGAAAGTCGAGAAGTATAGCTGATGTCTGCTTTGGGTGATAAAAGTGCCTTGTTTTAGCAGAAAAGCACCATGGAAAAACCCCTGGGTTCCAAAGTCTAGAACAAAACTTGGTAACCCTAGATATGCCTAACTTAACAGGGCCCACCAGAGCCTCCCCTGTGTGCCTTCCTCCGTTAGCTTCCCCAAGTGCCTGCTCTTATTTCCTGTGGGCCTTTCCACTTCAGAGCATTTGATAATAAAGGACCAAGTAAGAAATAAAGAAAGTAATCCCACTTTGTCCTTGGACTTTTCAGACCTTTAAAATTCTGTAGCAAACAGCTTTTCTGTCTGTACCCTGGGCTGCAAAGGAGGGTAAGCAGATGGGAAGATGATGAAGCATGCCCTTGGGTGCCCACTGTTGCCATTTGAATGTCCTTAACGATATCTGGTTTTCTCTTCTTGCCTTTTAGACCCTCAAACTGACACAAGACCTACAGAGAAAACCCTTTGCCAAATCTGCTCTCAGCAAGTGGACAGTGATACCGTTTACAGCTTAACACCTTTGTGAATCCCGCGCCATTTTCCTAACCCAGCAGAGACTGTTAACAGCCCTTTATCCTGGGTGAAGCACTTACCCTTGGAACAGAACTCTATAAAGTATGCAAAATCTTCCTGGTACGGGGTGGTGAGCCACCTGCCAGCGAGGACGGCACCGTCAGCACCGCCCAGTCTCTTTCAGAGCACATTGTGAGCCCCTGTGGGCGATTCTGTGGTGTTTTAATATCGCGATGGCTTATGGGATGTTTTACGTGTTGTTTTGTGTTTGTGTTCTTTTGATCCTCTGAGTTTTTCACACACATTAACTTGCAGTATTTTTCTGTTAAAATGTTAACCATCCTTTCCAGGCACATTTAGAAACAAAAGGAAAATGTTATACCATTCTGGCTCTGGGCATCGTAAGATTTTTGAGCCCATGGAACTCCATAAACTAATACAATATAGAAACTATGGGGGGGGGGGCGGGGATTTTCTTTCTTCTTTTGTTTGGCAGAATGTTATCCTTTTCTAAAAACTGAACAATGGCACAACTGTTTGCTATGCGCACCCGTCCAGGACTGAACACGCATAGACAACACACATGGAGCACAGTATCCATCTGACCCGTATGTTTCCATTCCTCAGCTTCTGAGTAGGGTGGTCTGAGGGTGAGACCCCTTCCCTCCCCACCCCCCAGTCAGTAGGACCTGTGGTCTCTCATCAATTTTTTCAGCTAATACAGTAGACAGTTTTGAGCTGGTAGGTTAGAAATGAGTAGCTTTTCAAGAAAGAAATAAGTTCAGCCATCCACTCATTGCCAAATGCCACTATGGGACTAAATTTTAAAGAGAAAAGAAAAGAGGGGGAAAATGTGTCTTGTTTTGCTTTTCAAGCTCAAGAAATGAGCTTACAGGTGGGCGACTAAGCTTACCATGAGATAAGATAGGAGCGGAGGACACACCGAGTGGTTGGGAGGGCAGATCTCATTTGAAATATCCATCCTTGATTACGTTCAGCCTTGCTGTGTGTCATCTGATCTTGTAGAAGTATATGGGTGAAAGGCAATAGCATACAAACTGCTTTTTTTAAATGTAAGCTTAAGTTGTAGTTGTGCAAGAGATACAATGGAAGCAAAACAATAGGGCAGTTTAAACTTTTTTAAAAACAAAAAACTTTCCCGCTTCTATGGATTTCATTTTGTTGTGTTTTCAAAAAGTTATGGTGCTGTATAGGTGCTTTCTGTTTATCCTGGAAAGTGTGATTGTCTTCATCACCCCCTTTGTAGACAGAAAAGTTGGGAATACTTTTGGTACATATGAAATTGGTGTGACGATGCTCTGATTAGCACAGCATAAACAGACTTCTCCAAAGTGATACAAAGACTTTTCTTTGTGTAAAAAGCTTAAGCATACAAATGTATAAGTATATTTTATCATGTACAGTACAAAAATGGAGCCTTATGCATGGGCGTTAGGAACACAAGCTAGTGTTTCAGCACAGACTTCCCTGCTTGAGTTCTCGCTGATGCTTGTACCCTGGCAGTGGGCACCAACACAGACGTGCACCAACCCCTTGCACCCACCACCACTAGCCCCCCAAGGTCCCCTTTGCACCTTTCTTTATAACTCCTCTGGGGATGATGCTGGTGGTGATCATAGCTCCTAGCCTAATAAGAGTTCCATTTGGTATTGTCACACGTCTCTTCCGCCTTGCTCCGATTGTCACGTTTGAGCACTGGCTCTGTTGATTTCACCCTGCCTTTCACAGAATCTGTAAATTGTTGTGCAGTTGTGATTATAGTAGACCTGTAGTGTATTGCCTTCTCTGAACTGCTACATGTTTATAATCTTCATTTTTAAAGTATATATAATTTTTAAAAATATGTATTCTATTTACGTGGTCTGTTTGTCAGTGAGCCACACTTGCTTACCATATTCTTTATAATAATGCTAGCCATTCCTTTGATTCCTTAGTAGTCTGCTGTACAGTGTCGGTAAAGGAGGGCTGCCTGCCTGGCTTCCTGCATGGTGCTGCCTGGGCAGAGGTATTGCAGGGGCTGCTGTGGGCTTACAGGGTGTAGGTGGGCAGAGAGAGATGATCGGATAAAGATCAGATACAAGGGAGGATCCCAAGTGCTTCCAACTTGAAGGCCCTGAGACTTCTCTCCTGAGTTCAAAGGAACAAATTAACTCACAAAATAGCTTACCTGCCTATGCAGCTTTAGGACCTAGGAGCCACTTGGGAGCCAGAGAGTCAACCCTCCAATGTGTTCCAGCTTGACAATGTTGAATTCCTTTCAGACATGTGGCATCTCATTTATCCTCTTCTTTTCCAGTGTTTGTTGGATTTCAAGCACAATGTCTTACAGAATGTCCTAAAACCAGATTATGACTTAATCTGAAACAGCTGAGGGAAAGACAGAGGGTACGGGTATGAGGACAAGGCAGCCTCAGACCAGATCAGAATAACAGAATGTTTTTTTAGGTAACTCCAACAAGCGTCTACAGTCTACACGTCGTGTGGACAGCTGAGACTGCCACACCCAGGAGAGGGTCAGGCAAGAATTAAATAATAAGGTGTCAGAACCCCTCAATCTCCACTCCCCACTCCCTACACACAGAGGCCAGGTTCCCTTAGATGAGCCAGTTTATACAGTGGTCAGAGGTGTTGCCTGGACCCTCTGTCCCCTCTATCAGGTCCCCGCTTTCAGAGTGGGCTAATTGCGGGCCACCATGTAATGTTCTGAATGTCTTCAGTCCCTGCCATAGTGACCATAGTGTGATCTGAAACATCTCAGATGACACTGCAGCCTTCAGGCCAGGGCCAGCAGTGCTCTGTTGAATCATGAGAATTGTGCAGGGTCACCCCCAGCCCCTCAGTCAGTGAGCTGCCCCTAGGGAGGGAGCCACCCACTTGGTGACAGGAAGTCAGGAAGCAGAGTACATAATTGTGGAGACAAGACATGCACTCTGGGGCTCCATGACTCTCTTCGGGCTTCGGAACCTGATACCTTGTACCAAAGTTAGAAAAGAGCTTTATTGTGAGCTTTCACTGTCCTGGCACAAAGTCTGAGTGCCAGGCACAGCGTACCCCATTAACTGTGAATGCATCTGAGGTGGCTTCCTGCATCAATCCTCTGCAATATGATTGCTGAACCACATTTGAAAATTATTTTTTGCTGAAGTCTGTCTTTTCTGTTCATGGAGGATCCTGCATCCTTGTATAATGCAAAGTGGGTTTTCTTTTGGGTGTTGATTTCTAGTATCCTATGTGTCGCTTTCCCGTCCTGAGGAGAAGACACGTGGCTCACTACTCAGGGTGTGACTTCAGGTGGCTTCTAACCCTATACCCAGATTAAGGGTTACAGAGACAGACTTCACCTCTCCCTAAGGAACTATTCACTTGATGAATAAGGAGCATTTAAATCTCTTGGAAAAGGCCATCAGGAATAAAACATTCAGGAAGCAAGTCCTTTGTTCCTGATGCTGGTGTCAAAGGCTGTTGGGAAATAAAGCTATTATCCTTCTCTAAAGGCAAAAAGAAAACTCTTGACAGTTCTGAATTCTTTTTTTTTTTCCTGTTGTATTTGAGGGAACACCATATTATTAGGTGTATTTTTTTAATTAAGAAAAGCAAAAAAAAATTTTTTTTCATAAAAGTGCAATCACTGGTAAAGAGGTACGAAAATGCCAGCCCTCCCAGAGCTCTGGGAGGCAGGGCACTGGGGGAAAACAAAATTCTGATTTCTTTTTTCTTAAGTAATTGTACAAAGTCAGGTTGTGAGTACAATGCCTCTGGATCAGTGTCACCCATCACACTCCCGCGCTCTTTGAAAATGAAGTTCTTTTTCAAACAAGATCTTAAAACAGATATCCAAGTATCTGAAAAGACTGTGATATTTGATCTAAATCTTATGTGGGTAACATTTTATACAGGTTAAATGGATGGGATATTTTCTTCTTGTTTCTTAATTTTATTTGTGTGTACTTTTCTTTGATGAATGATTACAAGGCATCTGCTACACTCGAGAAATATGTGTGCAGCCACTTTTAGAAAACGACAAAAAACTATGTCTGGTCACTGGTTTCTCTCAAATTCTCTCATTGCTTGGCAATCAGTCTTCCCTTGTACCCTTGTCCTAGCACAGTATATCCACAAGAAATGTAAACAATGTGAAAGAGGACCAGGAAAATTAGTGATATTTTTTAAAATGTATTGTGCATTTTGGCTTCACATGTTTAACTTTTTTTTTAAGAAAAAAAAGTTGCATGAATGAAAAATCTCTGTATACAGTATCTGTAAACCTGTCTTACCTGTTTCAGTTTCTTGCTCCTACCCTATACAACTAGAGTCACACATGATGCATGGCCATATTCAAACACCTGAGAATCAAGCAGCTCGGCTTTGGTTTGAAGCACCTCCATCCTTTCTTCCAAAGCGAACACTATCATCCCGCATTCTTACTGAGGATTTTAACATAACCATATGTTGCCATGAATTACATCTGCCGCCTTTCTTCTCCAGGATCAAAACCAGTTTGATTTGGGAATTATCCCCTTTCCAAATGAAGTGGAGATGCAGTGCTTACTTTCCTTGGTGTTTGTAGATACTGCCTTGTGTATTCCATTTAAAACCATAATCTAGTTTGTAAAAGAAATGGTGACGCATGTAAATAAAGCATCGATGACACTCGTCTTATTCCAAGAAGTGTGGTTTTTTTTTTTTTTTTTTGGTCCCACCCCAGCAATAAAATGGCTGAGTTTATTTCAAGGTCTTCTGTAGGATTACTTCACAGGCTGGAATGAGCAGCACAGGGCTGACTCTATTAGGAGATCTGTCAACTAAATGAACATAGTAAACTTTTTCTCTGGCCCAATTTTGACCTCTACAGACAACCAAACAATAAAAGCAGATTTATGGAGCTGTTCGTGTTGGCTGATAGCCACTGTTGGTGTGCACTGAGTCATGTGGTCCCAGAGGAGCTTTTCTGTAGAAAGACAGGAGTCAGCTCTGCCTTTGCTTGAGCACCAGTGTCTCAGCCCTGCCAATGGCTGGAGCCTAGAAGAGCTACTTCACAGGAGTCCAGGAAATAAACAGTGATCCTTAGTAGGACCCTCCTGCCCAACACAAGTCACAGTAGTGCCTCCAGCTTCTGATGGCAGCAGTCTCCATAGTCCCTTTTTGTCTATGTTTACAGCCTCCGCAGTTAAGAGTACTATACACTGTTGTAAAGCAATTCTTACCCTGAACTGTATCTCCTAATAGACATTGCAAAAACTATGAAAATTAAAGAACAACCCAGCACCACACACACATCCCACTTCACCCCAGGGTCTGGGTTATAGGTCCCAGGGCTCTTTATATCAAGGAGGTGAAAAAGATGTGAAAAGTTGGCCCTTGAGGACTGGTTCTTTCTTGGAGAGGCTGCTTTCATTGCTTTTTCTCCTTACTGTTGTTTGAATTATGTATAAATGAAAAAATCTTTCCAACTCATTCCACCACCAACTGGAGAAGCATCTCAAGATCATGTCTCCCAAAAGATTAAAGATGGAAATCTAATGTCTGTCACTATGAAATCCTCAATAGAAAGTTCTCCAAAACCAGGTAAAAATGCAACCAAAAAGTAGTTCAACTTGAATGATCAATCACTAAGTCAGTTGAGGTGTGATAGTAGCCAGACCCTTGACACACCAAGAAAATCAAATCCAGGACCTTGCTTTCCATGGGATGTCCTGCAAGTGGAACCTACCTGCTCTGCCTTAGGTGCTGGGTTTTGAGGTTTGAAGCCAGCTCAGGCAGGGAAAACTATGAGACTTTATCTCCAATAAATTACCCAAAAAAGCCAGAAGTGGCATGTAGCTCAAGTGGTAGAGCGCTAGCCTTGAGCAAAAAAAGAAGCTCAGGGACAGCGCCCAGGCCCAGAGTTCAAGACCCAGCACCAGGCAAAAAAAGTCAAGTCCTGGTGACTAGCTCTGCTTTAGCACCTGCTTAAAAGTCTAGACTCGTTTCTAACACAGTTCAGGAGTTGGATTTTGCAAATAGAGGGAGAAGTTTTTAGCAGTCTCTGGACACAGGTCAGTCAGTCACACCACTGGTTTTTTTGGGTTTTTTTGGGGGGGTCCGGTCGTGGGGCCTGAACTCTGGGCCTAGGCACTGTCCCTCAGCTCTTCAGCTCAAGGCTAGCACTCTACCACTTGAGCCACAGAGCCACTTCCAGCTTTTTTTTCTTTTTGCTTATGTGGTGCTGAGGAATCGAACCCAGGGTCTCATGCATGCAAGGCAAGCGCTCTACCACTGAGCCACCTTCCCAGCCGAGTCACACCACTGTTGCAGTACAGGGACTGAAGGAAGAAGAAGGTCAAGTCCACAGCCGCTCCCCCACACCGCTGCATATACAGCTTGCAGCTACTCCCAGGAATGGAAAAACAAGGAGGTGGCTGAGATTGGTGAGGAGCAGTCTGTGTGGAGCTGAAAAGGAGAGCACTGAGAGGACCTACTTCAGCTCAGCTTTATCTCCATCAAAGAGAACAATGGTACCCGGATCAGAAGTGTAGACACATGGTGCTGGAGAAGAAGCCTTCCTTCTTGATTTTCTTCATGGGAAAGTTAGAAGATGAAGGCTAATGAGTTTTAAAATCTGAAGAAAGAAAGATTTTGTGTGTATATTGTTTTGTCTAATGTCTACCACATAGAAGTGGTTCAGGACTTCATTTTTGCCTCTCCTCTAAGGACATGGTAGAAACACACTATTAACATACCTACTCCACCTGAGAAATCTCCATGCCCTTTTTTGGATTGGCACAGGATCTCCTCTGTGATCCTCCATTCATCCACAGCACGACACTGTGCTTGCTGGTGAGACAAAGTAAATGAGCCTGCCTTCTGGCATGCTGTTTGAGTGACAGAAACCCAGATGTGGTGCTAGGAGCAGGAGCAGGACCCAGGAAAAGAATGAGAGCTCAGGCTGTCCCGGAAGTCACAGCTGAAAGGCACAGATCAGCTGGGCTGGCTCTCAAAGACAGACAGGAGACAGGAAAGGTAGAGACATACTTGGACAACAATGAGTAGTAGGTGGATTATAGCTTGTGCTACTCAAAAATGGATCTGTTTGGGGCTGGGAAGGTGGCTCAGTGGTAGAGTGCTTGCCTTGCATTCATGAGGCCCGGGGTTTGATTCCTCAGCACCACATAAGCAGAAGAAAAGCTGGAAGTGGCACTGGCAGCTCAAGTGGTAAGGCACTAGCCTTGAGCTGAAGAGCTGAGGGACAGCACCAGAGTTCAGGCCCCACGACCGGCCAAAAAAAAAAAAAAAGGATCTGTTGTCCTTTTATTCTAATCTTAACATAATGAACATCCTGATATAAGGAAATGCAAGGAAAGAGTCAAGCCAAGAAAGCAGGCAACTAGAAAATTTCATGATAGAGATCTTCCTTTTTTTTTTTTTCTTTTTTTTTGATGAGGTTGGAAACCATCAGGGTAGAGCTGATCTATAAAAGGAAAGACCCTAGGGTACACTGTGAGAGGTGAATTCTAGGGAAGTTGTAGAGGAAATGAGAAGCCATGGTAATGGAAATGTTTACAGCATGGTACCTACAGAAAAATGATGCTTCTATGCCCACTGGAAAGGCTGAGGAAGCTTCTGCCAAGTGTCTTCCAACTGGTCCTGGACACTCACAGTGACAGGCCCTAAAGGTAGCCCCAGGACTAATCACTAGCTCATAACCTGTGACCTTGCAGCCACACTGAGAAACTGTGATCTAAGGGGAGTCAGGAAAAACTTAGTCATGGGATGGCTGGGGGAGGCAAGAGAGGTTAAGTCTCAATTCTCTACCTTGTGTACTATTTTAACATCAAAGAAGGAGTGTGCTACAATTATGAAAGAGAAATGATTAATATAGCCTAAAAAGTAGAGGTGGATTGACTTTGACTCCTTCTGAGACTAGAGGAAATAAGGAATAAAGTGGGAGATGGATATTGGGGAGTAGAGATAATAATATAAGACATTGTTTAAAAGGAATCTGCTCGATGAATAGTGGAGTGCAAATGTGTGCCTTCAAAACTGGTTTTCTTTAGCTTCTGCCAATTAACATCTTGAGTATGATAGTATAGGAAAGAGAAATAAAAAAGGAAGGAAGGAAGGAAAGAAGGAAGGAAGAAAGAAAGGAAGGAAAGAAATGAAGGAAGGAAAGAAAAAAATGAAAAGAAAAAAGGAGGAAGGAAAGAAGGACACACTTCAAATCAGACACACTTGTATATCTAGTATTCTCTTGTTATATTAGTATATAATGACTAATACAAGAACAATAAATTGCAGATGCATGTAGTAGATGCCAATATAAAATTATGATTAAAATACACAAACCATTCTCATGCCCTCGATATTCTGAGCCCCTCCACAGGGGGCTGTTGCTACCAAAGTCAAAGCATCTTAGCCACCTGCTGTTGAGCCTGGAGGAGCAGGACTAGGAACCTGTGGCCCTCCAGCAAAGAGCAGCTCTTCTCTCACCAAGATTCACAGATGACTCCCTCAAGTAGGAAGAGGGTGTTCATGCTAAGATACCCCCAAAGACAAATGCCGAGTGTATCAGGACAGTTAATTAATGGTTTTTTTTGTCAAAATTATTTCCATTTTGTTGCACTGTATCTTAATATGTATAAAAGATAATGCACTCAAATTATTGGAAAGTATTAACATATATACACAAAGAATATCTTCCTCCTGTCCTTGAACCCGATCTGCCTAGTTCTGCCCAAACCAAAGTTCCTTATGTGTCCGTCAGAATGTCTTGTGTACCTCAAGCAATAAAAAGCATATTATTTTCTTCCTTTTATTACATAAAAAGTGCATTAAACAATATTGGGTATATTGCTTTTTTGAATGGCTTCCTCATACATGGAGGAAGAAGCATTAATGCATCGCAATAGATTTAGCCAGAGTGCTTCCCCCAGACATTACCAGGGACACTGCAACAACTTTATACATGTTATTTCATGCATGGGCAAGTATCTTTGTAGGATGCATGCCCAAACCTGGAATCATTGCATTAAAGGATGTAGATGTTTGTCATGTTGACAGGGGTTGACCAAATTGCCTTCTTGTGTTTCGCTTTTATACCATCAACACCAACATAGGCATCTGTGAGAATCCTGTTTTCTCGCAGCCTCATGCTTTTAATACTTGAAAAGCTATATTGCAAATCTGTGTTTCCCTTTCCCCCTGCAGATTTCGACGTCTGCACCTAAGGTGAGGTGAAGGTCTTGCCCCTGTGAGGCTGCTGGGTGGAGGAGGCTGAGGAGGCGGAGCCAGGGTGACCAGAGGACCAGGGAGGAGAAGTCCTTGGAGCACTCAGAGTCACACTGGCAACCGGTTTATCCAGTCTGGCCATTCCTCCTCCCCTCACGCCACTGGCTTGGACTGCCTAGGTCTCCAGTCAGCAGCCTGACCTCACAGCTAGGCTCTTTTACCTCCCAGAATTCCAGAAGGGAGCTGTCACCCCAAAAGAAACAAGTCTGGTCTCTTTGGCCCCAAACCACACTCCCAGACCTATTCATAGTGAGATTGCACAACCAGCTGGAGGACAGCCCAACTGAGCATGGAAGAACAGCCTTGCTCCTAGCCAGGCTGTGAGCCTCCTGTGCCTTGACAAACCTGGCAACCATCAGAGCAAAGCAGGGCTTGTCCTGGTGGCTCAGAGGTCT